CAGCCTGGAAGGTGGGAAGCGGCCAGATCCATTACTCGGTGCCGGAAGAAGCGAAACACGGTACGTTCGTGGGGCGAATTGCTCAGGATCTAGGTCTAGAGGTAGGGGAGCTGGTGTCTCGGCTGTTCCAGGTGGTGTCCAAGGGCTCCAGGGACTATCTGGAGGTAAATGCGCAGAATGGCATTTTGTTTGTGAATTCACGGATCGACCGTGAGGAGCTGTGCGGTCGCAGCCCTGTTTGTAGTATCCACCTGGAGGTGATCGTGGAGAAACCACTGCAGGTTTTCCATGTGGAGGTGGAGATCAAGGACATTAATGACAACCCTCCGGTGTTCTCTGTAAGACAAAAGAATCTGAGTATTGCAGAATCGAGGTTAGTTGAGTCTCAGTTTCCGCTAGAGGGCGCGTCAGATGCAGATATCGGAGCGAACGCTCTCTTGACTTACAGGCTCAGTCCGAATGAGTATTTCACTCTCGATATAAAAAACGAGGAGGAAATTAAACTTGTATTAAAAAAACAACTAGACCGAGAAGAAACTCCCAAACTTCACTTATTGCTTACAGTCACTGATGGGGGCAAACCAGAGCTTACTGGAACAGTTCAGCTGCTGATCACGGTGCTGGATGTTAATGATAATGCCCCCGAATTCGGCAAAACAGTCTATAAAGTGAAACTACTGGAAAATACATCTAATGGAGCGCCAGTAATTCAACTAAATGCTACAGATTCAGATGAAGGATCAAACAGTCAAATTACTTACTCATTCACAAGTGATATTTCTCCAGATGTAGAGGCCAAGTTTCATATAGACCCAATCAGTGGAGTTATAAAAGTAAAGGGACATGTTGATTTCGAGGAAATCAAATTATATAAAATTCAGGTAGAAGCTACTGACAAGGGGACTCCCCAGTTGGCTGGTCATTGCAAGGTCATGGTGGAAATTCTGGACACCAATGATAATACCCCTGAAGTGCTGGTGAAATCGTTGTCGCTGCCAGTAAGAGAAGACGCCCCTCCAGGCACAGTCATTGCTCTCATCAGCGTGTCCGACAGGGACTCAGGAGCCAATGGACAGGTGACTTGCTCTTTGTTTCCCCAGACACCGTTCTCGTTGGTATCCACCTTCAAGAATTACTACTCTCTCGTTTTGGAAGGTCCTATAGACCGCGAAAGCGTGCCGGCCTATGAGCTAGCGGTAACTGCTCGGGATGGCGGGACGCCAGCGCTGTGGACCACTGCCAGGTTGTCGGTGGGCATTGGCGACGTGAACGACAACGCGCCTGCCTTTGAGCAGCCGATGTACACAGTGTTTGTGAAGGAGAACAATCCGCCGGGCTGTCACATCTTCACAGTATCTGCCTCAGACCCGGATGCGCAAGAGAACGCGCTTGTGTCTTATTCCTTGGTAGAGCGGCGAGTAGGGGAGCGTCCGCTGTCTAGTTACGTGTCTGTGCACTCGGAGAGTGGGAAAGTGTACGCCTTACAGCCCCTGGACCACGAGGAGCTGGAGCTGCTGCAGTTTCAAGTAAGCGCTCGCGACGCAGGCTTCCCTCCTCTGGGCAGCAACGTGAGCCTGCAGGTGTTCGTGCTGGACGAGAACGACAACACACCAGCGGTACTGCCTTCTTATGCGGGTTCTGGAGCAGGTAGGGGCCCAGTGAACGAAGTGATATCACAGTCCGTGGCTGTGGGTCATGTGGTGGCGAAGATCCGCGCTGTGGATGCAGATTCAGGCTACAATGCATGGCTGTCTTATGAGCTCTTGCCCAAGAAGGGCGTTGGGCGCAGCCCTTTCCGCGTGGGTCTGTACACTGGCGAAATCAGCACCACTCGAGATCTGGAGGAGTCGGACCCAAGAAAGCAGACATTGCTGGTTCTGGTGAAAGACCACGGTGAACCTATGTTGTCTGTCACAGCTACTGTAATGTTGTCGATAGTGGAAAGTGGATTATCTCCGAAGACCTTTTCTGGAGCGTCCAGGTCTGCTGCTTCTGCAGGCTCCGGGAAGGAGACAGTTCTGGTAGATGTGAACGTATATCTGATTATTGCTATCTGTTCGGTATCCAGCCTGTTAGTGCTCAGCCTGCTGCTATACGTATCGCTGCGGTGCGCAGCACCCCAAAGGGGTGAGTACTGGAATGGAAAACCTAGGCTGGTGTGCTCTAGTGGGATGGAGAGCTGGTCACATTCCCAGCAGCGGAGACAGAAAGGTTTTTCCGGAGAAGGGGCGGCCAAGAACGATCTTATGGCTTTTAGCCCCAACTTTCCTCCTTGTCCTGGCTTTGTGAATAAAGGGGAACAGAAGGAAGCAACTGCAAATTCCTCTGACCAGGTGAGTTATTTGAAATATTTTATCTGTCATAAGAGTAGCTTGGATCATGTGTACCTTTATTTTCCCCTGTATTTTTAATTTTTCTTCTTCTCCCTATTTTGTTTTAGGTTTTTGTAGAGCTTAAATAGTTGGATTTTAGATTTAGTTGGTATTGTTAATTATATGAAATTTATCATAATTTAAATTTGTCTTTATTTCACATTTGTTATGGTCCCAGAATGTTGTCAATGTATTTTCAACACAATTTGTACATTCCCCCTGGCTTTCCACTCCTCCACCCTCAATTTCAGTAGCTCCTTGAACATATTTGTAACCTGAATGGTAATGTGAATCCCTTAAACATGTACTTCATTTTACAAAATTTTATTTGGACAGGGCCTCACAGACTATGTAATCCAATGTGCAGGAAGACAAAAACCCTTTCTATGATATCCCTGAGAAGTGGCTATTTAGCTTAATGTGAGGGGAAAGGATGTTTCAGTACATTTCAAGACAATCCATTTCATTTCTGGATAACTCTAATTATTAGGAAGTTTCCACTTATTTTCTGCAATTTCCACTTATTACTCTCAGGCTTGCTATCTGAAATTAAGCACAAGTCTCATTTGGTTTCCACATGCACTCTTTAAATATCATTTATACTGTCCGCCATAAACAGCTCCTTCAGGATAAGCATTCCCAATTCCATCAAATCATCTCCAGTCCTTTAACTATGCTAGTCACCATCAAATTTCTCAGTTCAATTTCATAAGAAGGCTCAAAAATCTAGCTAGTAAGAAGTAATTACAAAATATTTATACTGAATACAATGAGTCTATCATTCCTTAAAATAAAAACATTGTGTGTGTGTGTGTGTGTGTGTGTGTGTGTGCATGTGCGCGCGCGCGCAAGCGTATGGTGACACATATTTTGGAATAATAACACTCTTTTGAGGATAAGTATATAGCAAAGAAAACAACTCATATAAAGACTTTTGCAAACCTTGAAGTGCTCTACAAATGAATGCTGTTGTTATAGGTAGTATGTTTTGTGACTGTTAAAAGAACTCCTATCCTCTAGCTACTGTTTGTTATTTATAATTAGAAACTCTACAACATTACTGTTATCTAGAAGCCAGTCAGTAAGCTAGCATTTATTAAGTGTCTACTTATTATGCCAGGCATTGTGCTAAGAGCTAAGTGTACCAAGAAAGGCAAAAAAAAAAAGTCTCTGCTCTTTAGGCACTCACAGTTCCTTTCCAGTACTTCCAGCAAGATGGAAGAAACCCTCATTCATTCTTCAGTCAAATATTCACTGAAACATCAAAATCTTCAGATATCTTTTTTATGGACTATTATTCTATTTAGCATTATGTAATGTGGTAATAACTAGACAGCCAACTATGGAGTCTGGAAGACATGAATTCATTCAATATCTCTGATATACATTGGGCTGTATCATCACTGTGTGCTCTTGGGTGACTCTATAAGTTTATAAATAACATATGAAATGCTGATGTGAATCATAAGGTGGAGGACATCCCCACACTGGGTAATGTCCAGCATCAGTGAAATCACTTCAATAACTCCACTTGACTAGAGGTTACATAGACTTCATTCAGAAAAATAATTACTTCATTTTCACAATAGGATTGGGTATTTTAAAATTTTGGACTTTTTTTGTTTGATTTGACCCAAGGAAGCTTAATTTAAAAGTGGAACAAATGAAATATTTCTTTCATGTTTAGGAAAGCTCTGAAACTTCTGATAGATTTGGGTTCTTCTTAACATGGTAATATTAACTAGCTTTGCTAACAGTTAATATGTCTGGCACATTAAATACAACTGATTTGGGTTCATTGTGATTCCATTCAAGATAATAAATATAGCTACAATCTTGCAAAATTAGAGGAAGTTGGTCTCAAGCTTTCTTTTAAGATGATACATATGGCTACAATCTTGCAAAATTAGTCAAAGGGTAGGGGTCAAACTGACCTGTTCGACTAAGGCTTTGTTTTTTTTTTTTTTTAAATCCAACAAATATTTATTGATGCTTACTATGTGTTGCTGTGTTGTTGGGAAGGTGGAGGCGTTGAAAATATAAAAAAGACAAAGTCACAGGTCTCCTAAAGCTTACGATCTAGCAAGTTCTTTTTAAAAAAGAATGTGGAAGAGAATTTCTGAGACTTTTTTTTTCCAAAAGAAAATAAGAGAATCTTAATAATAAGTATATAATTGCCAGAAGAAAGTAATCCATTTAAATACATACTCGATTTTCATTAAAAAGCAATGTGAAAGGACTATTACTCTGTCCTAGCCATCGTACCACAATTCAGAAATATCCTACTAATGAATAAAATCAAAACATTCAAAGAAAGAGGAACTGAGAGGTTCAAGACGATACGGAGATATAAAAAGCTAGAAAAAATACATAATGATGTGACTCAATAGACTTACCCAAATCACCACATGGTGACGCTGTCGGCTCAAATAAAACAAATCCTAAAGGCATGAAATCACTGCTCTTCTCCCAGTTTTAAAGATACTGCATCCAGACTTCGCCAGCATCCATGTTTTTAAACCCATACCACAGGAAACTAGCAGACACTGGATTTCTCTCTCAAAGAATCTTGTTTCATTATAAACTGCAAATCACGGAGGAGAGAATTAGATACATTTCGTGTTTACAATGGGATTTTCCGAGCGAGGCGGTCTGAAATTCCAGCAGCTTCTGCTCTCATTTCTGCTCCACACGTCCTGGGAGGTAGGGAGCGGCCAGGTCCATTACTCGGTGCCGGAAGAAGCGAAACACGGTACGTTCGTGGGGCGAATCGCTCAGGACCTGGGTCTGGAGGTCGGGGAGCTGGTGTCGAGGCTGTTCCGGGTGGTGTCCAAGGGCCGCAGGGACTACTTGGAAGTAAATGCGCAGAATGGCATTTTATTTGTGAATTCGCGGATCGACCGGGAGGAGCTGTGTGGTCGCAGCCCTGTTTGTAGCATCCACCTGGAGGTGATTGTGGAGAAGCCGCTGCAGGTTTTCCATGTGGAGGTGGAGATCAAGGATATTAATGATAATGCGCCTATGTTTCCTGCTACAGAACAAAGGCTGTTCATTTTTGAATCTAAACAGCCAGACTCCCGATTTCCGCTAGAGGGCGCGTCAGATGCAGATATCGGAGTGAACTCTCTCTTGACCTACGGACTCAGCCCTAATGAATATTTTATTTTGGAAATGCAAACGAGTAGTGAGCAAAGCAAAGCTTTGTCACTTTTATTAAGAAAATCTTTGGATAGAGAAGATACTTCTGAGATTAATCTGTTACTGACCGCCACTGACGGGGGCAAACCTGAGCTCACCGGCACAGTCCAACTAAAGATCTCGGTGTTAGATGTCAATGATAATGATCCTGAGTTTGATCAGTCAGAGTACAAGGTGAAATTATTGGAAAATGTTGCAAACGGCACATTTATAGTAAAGGTCAATGCCACAGATCGGGATGAAGGAATAAATAAAGTTTTACAATACTCATTGCGTGCGATAAAACCCAAGAGAAATGACTTGTTCAGATTAGATGAAGATACAGGAGAAATTTGGATAAATGGAAACTTGGATTTTGAGGAAAATAAATTCTATGAACTCCACGTAGAGGCGACTGATAAGGGAAACCCTCCTATGGTGGGTCATTGCAGGGTTTTGGTGGAGGTTCTGGACATCAACGACAACACTCCAGAGGTGGCCGTGACGTCACTATCATTGCCAGTTCGTGAGGATGCCCCATCAGGCACAGTCATCGCCCTCATCAGCGTGTCTGACCGTGATTCAGGAGCCAACGGGCAGGTGACTTGCTCGCTGTCTCCCCCGGGACCCTTCACACTGGTGTCCACCTTCAGAAATTACTATTCTTTAGTGCTGGATGGCACAGTGGACCGCGAGAGCGTGCCAGCCTATCAACTAGTGGTGACTGCGAGGGATGGGGGGACTCCAGCTCTGCGGGCCACCGCCAGAATTTCTGTGGGCATTGGCGACGTAAATGACAATGCGCCTACCTTCGAGCAGCCTGTGTACACCGTGTTCGTGAAAGAGAACAACCCACCCGGGCATCATATTTTCACAGTGACCGCAACAGATCCAGATGCGCAGGAGAACGCTCTGGTGTCTTACTCGCTGGTGGAGCGGCGGGTTGGAGAGCGTCCTCTGTCGAGTTACGTGTCTGTGCACTCAGAGAGCGGGAAAGTGTACGCTTTGCAGCCCCTAGACCACGAGGAGCTTGAGCTTCTGCAGTTCCAGGTGAGTGCCAGAGACGCGGGCTTCCCTCCTCTGGGCAGCAACGTGAGTCTGCAGGTGTTCGTGCTTGACGAGAACGACAACGCACCGGTTGTGCTGCCCCCTCACGCAGGCGTTAGCCCAGTGACCGAGCTGGTGTCACAGTCGGTGGCTGTGGGACATGTAGTGGCGAAGATCCGGGCTGTGGATGCGGATTCTGGCTATAATGCCTGGCTGTCTTATGAGCTGCTGCCGGAGGTGGGCGCTGGGCGCAGCCCTTTTCGTGTGGGTCTGTACACTGGAGAGATCAGCACAACGCGGGCCCTGGAGGAGTCAGATGGGCGGAGACAGATGCTGCTAGTACTAGTAAAGGACCACGGGGAGCCCATGCTGTCTGCCACAGCTACGGTGAGTGTGTCACTTTTGGAGAATGGTCAGGCCCTTCAGACGTCTTCCGGACTGGCCAAGCAGCCACCAGCTTCGTCCATTGTTAAGGGAACAGCCCTGGTGAATGTGAACGTGTATTTGATCATAGCCATCTGTTCTGTGTCCAGTTTGTTGGTGCTGAGCCTGCTGCTATATGTGGCTCTGCGCTGCTCTACACCCTCGCACGGCATCTACGGGCCTGGGAAGCCCACTCTAGTGTGTTCTAAAGAGGCTGGGAGCTGGTCGTATTCCCAGCAGCGGAGGCAGGTTTGCTCTGGAGAAGGAACGGTCAAGAATGACCTCATGGCCTTCAGCCCCAACCTTCCTCCATGTCCAGTATCCTCAGATAGAGAACAGCAGGAGGCCAAGAAGGATCCTTTGGGCAAGGTGAGTCTTATATTCCAGCAAGATTATAGCAGATTGACTTTTATAGTTTTAAATTCCTCCTCCTCCTCCTTCTTGTTCTTCTTGTTCTCCTTGTTCTTCTCATCCTGTGTCATTCATGTACATATCTTCACATAAATGTTCCTTAAAGAATCTACTGAACTGCTATAGCCCCTTTTCTAGGGTAAGCATTCTATGGGTTCTTGTGCAGAACTTGGAAACTCTACTTCATATTCATATCACCTTTTCTGATCATACTTTACTTGCATGATATATTTTATGCCATTTCTGGCATTCATATTATTGCTCATAAAATACTGCAGCCTACTTGTACCTACCAGGTGTCTCTCTCTCCATTGCCCGTTGTGTCTTTTGTAATTTTGATTCTTTGGAGATTGTGGTGTTCCATGATTTGCAGCCATATGGCATCACTAGAAGAATATTCTTTTTTAAAAATGGCATTTTTTTAAGGGAATGCTTGCTATTTTTGAAAATGTCATGTAATTTCCTCAGTGGAATCCAGTCCAATGTCTTCCTCGTTTTCAAAGCTGGATCTAGTTTAGTGTCCATGTGCAGTCTCAATCTAAACTATTTGTAATGATGGAGTAGCTGAAAGGAATTTTCATAAAGCACTGTGTTGTTTTGGTACCTGGAAACCCTAGTACCATTTTTTTTCCTGGAAAAAGTATACGATTTTTGAAGATATTGAAATCATTTCATCATAGCAATTGACATTTAATAACCGAATGCTGGGTTGCTGTAGTCATTTTTTTTTTTGAGGATGATACTCCAGTGCCTGTCATTACCAAATTAGTATTAAAACACGAGAAACTTTGGCAAATTAGGGGAATAATATTAAGTCTGTAGTTTCCAGTGAGACAGTCTAGAAATGTTCATTTGGATGAATGGATGCCATTTTTATTGGAGAAAGAAAGAGTTCCTTGTGACCTTAAAAGGATAATGTTAAGGATTTGTATGTGCTTTTATTCTACTTTGTATAGCCAATCACACTTGAAAAGTTTGGATAACTTAAAAGTACTCATTTTTGAATCATTTAAAAGTTAGAATCTTATTTAGTGCCACTCTTGATAGTTATATTCACAGCCCATGTATGCCATTCAAATCTTCCTGCTTGCTTTTCACTCCTTAAAGTTTAGTGATTTGAGCTTTACTTCATAAACTTGGCATTTCCTTTTGGTGCTTGAGTTTGTTTTACAGTGTAATGATTTCTTGGTCATAGATGATGTCTGTGTAAAGCATCTATTTCTATGACATTGTCTTAGCCATGAAGATTGCAATTTAATTTTTTTGATTGAAAAAGGAAGTACAGTAAAACTTTATTTACACTAAAATATATGTTAAAAAGAAACAATTTTCTCAACTTTGACATTTTATTCAGAATTTAATAACTTCTGATAGTAGTTTATTTTTTTTAAAAAATAAACTGTCAAACAGTTTATATTTCACCTGAATTTCTAGTTACTTGATCTTAAGGAGATTTTTTGTTGTTGTTCAGAATTTACATCATAACTAGATTACTGCCTGGAGTTACATAGACTCAAATAGGAAATAAATACATCTTTGAAAATAATTTTCAGTTTGATAAAAGTTTCATTCATAATTTCTTTTAAGATCTCTTATCAAAATACAGAACCCATGAATTACCTGCTTACAGGTGTAAAATAACCGAAAGTAATTGAAGTGGAGAATTCTGCATGATTTCCTTTTCTCCTCTCAGTTGCAGATGCTATTTTGTTCTTTCTTTTCCTTTGAGAGTGATCTTGAAGAAGGCAAAGCAAGGAAGGTTTTTGGAACGATCTTTGCTTTGTCATCCTAAGCCTAGGTCTCCTCTGAAGAAAGTATATAGGAAGCACATAACCAGGCTGCATGGAATAACTGCTTAGCACCTTCAGTGACTTTATTAATGGTTAATAAGTACCTGACTGTTAAATTGTCCTCTAAGGTGGCCATTTGACAATCAACAGAAACTCCAAAGAAAGGATTTACTGTGATATTGCATTTCAAAACCTTAAACAAAGAGATATTTTAAGACTTCAGCCTAAGACAATGTGTTTGAAGACACACTACTCCCACTGAATCTCAGCTTCCAGTAAATAAATCTGTTGGAGAAATCAACTTTGAACAAAGGGAACACTTTCATATCAAGTTGACATATCTAAGTAACAAAGAATACAAGTGGATTCACTGTCTACATGACAGCAAGGGAATGTTTATCAATTTTATATCTAGGAAAAAAGATTTCTGGGTTTCAGTAAAATTTTTTAAAAAAAATTAAATGAACTGCTAGGTTCTCGTTTAATAAAATATTTTTAAACTGAGGATAATATTGAATCATTTTTATCCAGAAGTCATTGTCAATAGTCTTCAATAACAAATCAACTATTGAATTTTCTTCCCTATTTTTGTACAATAATTCACATTAAAATCTTGTAATAATAGATTTGGAGGTGGAAGGGACCTTCAAGGTCATCTAATCTAAAACTCTCATTTTACATATGAAGTCATTCCACTGAGTGACCTGCTCAAGGTCAAATAGGCAGCACCAGCAGTGCAACAGTTCCAAAGCAATCTTCTCCGCTTGTGCCACTCTGCCTTAAGGTATTTTGAATTTGTTAGTAATTGATTGGTACTTTGAAAGTTATCAATGAATTTCAAGCGAAAGAAGTTAACAGAGCATTTAGACAGAGAAAATAAAATTTATATTTCACTTGAATTAAGAAAATGCTATGACTGAATGGAATCTATATTTAAATTGTTTAGAAGGAAAGATAAAAGTAGTGAGACATAGATATTAAGGTGAAAAGCATAAACCCCACCAAAAAAAGAAAATAATTCTTTTAAAAAAACTTACAGAAATGGGCACATGGTGTCGCTGTCCACCCAAAAGGTGAGGGAAACGAAAAATCCTACTCCATTCTTGTATACTGCTACCAGTCATAGGAGGACAGGAGCCATTTTGGTGGAGGATGCTTGATAGTTTAATGACAACATATTTACGGAAACAGATAAATTTTGGATAAGCAGACTCCAAGCAATTGTTCTGCTTACTCCGCTAATAATCCAGCAGCGTGGGCTATGGGGATTTCCCAAAGGGGCGGTCTGGGAGCGCGGCAGCTGCTGTTCTCGCTTCTGCTCCACACAGCCTGGGAGGTGGGGAGCGGGCAGATCCATTACTCGGTGCAGGAGGAAGCGAAACACGGTACGTTCGTGGGGCGCATCGCTCAGGACCTAGGTCTGGAGGTCGAGGAGCTGGTGACGAGGCTGTTCCGGGTGGTGTCCAAGGGCCGCAGGGACTACCTGGAGGTAAATGTGCAGAACGGCATTTTGTTTGTGAATTCGCGGATCGACCGGGAGGAGCTGTGCGGTCGCAGCCCTGTGTGTAGCATCCACCTGGAGGTGATTGTGGAGAAGCCGCTGCAGGTTTTCCACGTAGAGGTGGAGATCAAGGATATTAATGACAACCCGCCTGTGTTCCCGGAAAAACAACAAAACGTGTTTATTTCAGAATCTAGACTCCTAGACTCGCATTTTCCACTAGAGGGCGCGTCGGATGCGGATATTGGTGCAAACTCTCTCCTGAAGTACCAGCTTAGTCACAATGATTATCTTACTCTGGAAATGATAACTAAAAATGACAAAAGAATAGTGCCTGAACTAGTATTACATAACTTGTTGGACAGGGAGGAAACTCCAGAAATCAGTTTGTTACTGACAGCCACTGATGGGGGAAAGCCTGAGCTCACCGGAACAGTTGAGCTACTTATTACGGTCTTGGATGTGAATGATAACCCTCCTAAATTTGATAAATCTGAATATAAAGTTAAACTCTTTGAAAACTCACCAAATGGGACACTAATGATTAAACTTAACGCTTCAGATGCCGACAAAGGAATCAATGGAGAGATTTCTTATGCAATAAAAAGGATTTCACCAGAAAGTGAAAAATGTGTATTTATTATGAACTCAGTTACTGGAGACATCCTAATTCATGGGGAACTCGATTTCGAAGACAATAGTGTCTATGAAATACAGGTAACAGCCACTGACAGAGGAGCTCCTCCCATGGTTGGTCATTGCACAATCTTGTTGGAAGTCGTGGACATCAATGATAATGCCCCTGAGGTGTCCGTGACCTCCCTGTCACTGCCAGTCCTAGAGAATACCCCACCAGGCACAGTCATCGCCCTCATTAGTGTGTCCGACAGAGATTCTGGCGCCAATGGGCAGGTGACTTGCTCGCTGTCGCCCCCCGGGCCCTTCACGCTGGTGTCCACTTTCAGGAATTACTACTCGCTGGTGCTGGACAGTTCTGTAGACCGTGAGAGTGTGCCGGCTTATGAGCTGGTGGTGACTGCGAGGGATGGGGGGACGCCAGTGTTTTGGGCCACAGCCAGAGTGTCTGTGGGCATCGGAGATGTAAACGACAATGCACCTTCCTTCGAGCAGCCTGTGTACACCGTGTTTGTGAAAGAGAACAACCCCCCAGGGCATCACATCTTCACAGTTACCGCATCAGATCCAGATGCGCAGGAGAACGCGCTGGTGTCTTACTCGCTGGTGGAGCGGCGGGTTGGAGAGCGTCCGCTGTCGAGTTACGTGTCTGTGCACTCAGAGAGCGGGAAAGTGTACGCTTTGCAGCCCCTAGACCACGAGGAGCTTGAGCTGCTGCAGTTTCAGGTGAGCGCCCGGGATTCTGGCTTCCCTCCTTTGAGTAGCAACGTGAGTCTGCAGGTGTTCGTGCTCGACGAGAACGACAACGCGCCGACTGTGCTGCCACCTCACTCTGGCGATAGCCCAGTGACCGAGCTGGTGTCACAGTCGGCGGCTGTGGGACATGTAGTGGCGAAGATCCGGGCTGTGGATGCGGATTCTGGCTATAATGCCTGGCTGTCTTATGAGCTGCTTCCGGAGGTGGTCACTGGGCACAGCCCTTTCCGCGTGGGTCTGTACACTGGAGAGATCAGCACGACCCGAACTCTGGAGGAGTCAGATGGCCCTCGGAAGGTGCTACTTGTCTTAGTAAAGGACCATGGAAAGCCTGCCTTGTCTGCGACAGCCACAGTCAGCATTTCCCTTGTGGAGAATGGACTGTTAGTGAAGGCCTTGTCTTTCAATGCTGCAGCAGCAGCAGCTGCTGGGCCGGCATCTGAGGCACGGGTTAGAAAGGAGGCAGCCCTGGTCGATGTGAATGTGTATTTGATCATAGCTATCTGCTCGGTGTCTAGTTTGTTGGTGCTGAGCCTGCTGCTGTATGTTGCTCTTCGGCGTCCGGCACCCCCACAGGGTGTATACGGACCTGGGAAGCCCACACTGGCATGCTCTAGTGAGGTGGAGAGCTGGTCTTATTCCCAGCAGCGACGGCAGAAAGTTTGCTCTGGAGAGGCCTCGGCCAAAACTGATCTCATGGCCTTCAGCCCTAACCTTCCCCAGGCAAATGAGGAGAGTCAGAATCCCTGTCTAATTGTGAGTTACTTGTTCAATTGTGTATTTTTTAAATCAAAATTTAAAATTTGGGATTAGGTTTTTTTTTATGCTGATGATTAACTTCGAATATATTCCATTCTTAAATAGAGGTAACGGGTCCATAATGGTTGAACAAGGTCTTTATATTCGATGAACTTCCAGGTCCAAACCTATCATTAGAACACCTAAAATGATGAAGGCTTTTAAACTTCTAGCTTTACATTTAATCTTTGCTTTTTATTTTGTATTAATTTGTACTCTCTGTATCTCTGTGTTCTCAAATGTGGCATTTCTCAGTTGGTTAGTCATAGGTTCAAATGATTTTGAAGAAACATGTATTTTTTTTAAGCTATAAAGGGGTTTTTTTTGGTTGATGACTCCTATTGTGCCCTCAGTGATATTTTAGAGACGTTAAGATCCCAGTATATACTCACCAATGCAGGCAACTGTATGTCCCTAGGTATTACATAAGGTAATTGATACTAATATTTTTCCATTTATGATTCAAGAGAAACAGAGGAAGGCCCTCAGCAGGTTGGGTGGGGCTTCTACCTCCAGTTTATTGAAGGGCATAGACAAAAGTCACACAGAATAGGCAAACGAATAGATTAACAAATGATATCTAGAGAAAGAATCTCAACATCATGACATCACAGACCATTGGCCTATTGTAGGAATTCAATTAATAAAGCACTGACTAGATGAATACAAAAGATAAAATTGGAAACATTACTGTACCTCTGGGCTATGATATATTAGATTATGCCCAATCCCTAAATCATACCCTAGGAGGAAATTAGGCTCTTAGTTCGGATCATCAGCCTTTCAGGATATCCAGTACAAGCTATCATGTATACACCCCTACCACTGGCCATTAAATGGTACCCCCAAAATTTTAGAGAATGTGCCTCCCTAAGCATCTAATTCATAAGGAGAATTCTCATCCTATATAAAGTGAATAAAATAATGAAATTTTAGAATATCAAAGAGAGGATCCAATAAATTAGCCCCATGCATACATTTAGAAGGAAATAATTCCTATAATATTATCTAAGATATGAAGACAAAATGCTTTAAAATTCAGGAAGATGTAGGAAAACAGGAGAATCTTGAAATGCCTCTATCAGTGACTAAATTCATTTAGTAATAGGAAAGTGAATACTTGAGGGAGCTGCCATTTGCCTAGCGTGTTGGGAATCTTTACTAAGGTAAACCACAGCCCCGTCTGTGACTTATATTTGTAAGTTCTAGAACGTTTTCTGAAATACATACAGGGTAAGTGACTCATCCAGAGTCAAATAACAAGTAAATATAAGAGACATGATTCGAACCCACATTTTGACTCCAAGCCTAGCATTCCATCCATTCCCTTTCTCTGTCTTCATACGAGGCATATTCAATTAAAATTGCTTAGGGAATATTTAGATAACAATTTTCTTTAAAAGGTTGGCTGAATGCATGTATGTTGATAGAAACTTGGAGGGAGTGATAGAAAATTTGAGACATCATGTGAGTAAAAACTGATAAACTGAAATATAAATAGTTGCAAAGCAAGTTTAACTGGTTGTGGTGATATTTAATGTTCATTCTAAATTATTTTAAAAAAAACCAAAAAGAAAGATAAAAAAGATCACTGACATTTGAGATTTTCTTTTAAGAAGTTAATGAGAATTTTTGGTAGCTGATGCTTTGAGGGTGGGGGGTGGTAAAGGGGAGGAATTTGAATAACTTTTGTATATCCAGTACCCAATGCCAGAAGAAAATCCAGCTATGCTATTCTGATTCAGTGCACTAAAGACTGCTGTGGTCATTTCAGACTACGGACATAGGGACCACCATTTCTTATTGAATACTCTGGCTATATCTTGAAAATTGCCTAAACTCCAGAAAGCTGAGTTTCAGAGATGACTTTACTATTTGAAAAATAACAAGTAAAGAGTAAGTTAAAATTGTATATAACTTATTCTAGGGATTCTAACCAGGACTATAAAATACAGAACATAAATAATTAGAATATGATGGAAGAAATAATTCTACCCCTCGTGCTTGTGAAGAAGAAATGCCAAATTGCTTCTATTTTTTATGAAAAACTTGGAGTAAAAGTGCTATGAATTAGGCACCAAACTTGTTTCTTCATTTTATATCATCATTTTGAGCAAGACATTTTGGACAAGGATGTTGAGCAATGCTAAGGACTGACTGTAATGGATGGAGATAAAGAGACTGTGCACATAAGATTATTAATCATTCTGGAGTTCAGTTTCTGCTTTTCTGATTTAGAACAGCATTCTCTTTGGAAGTATCTTTCTTATTTTTTTTTACTTCCCACTGACTATTTTGTCTGGAGGTAGGGTAGTCTATTGCAGCATCCATTCTCAGGCTTTACAACTGTCAGGAGAGGGGCAGAACTTTAGAGATGAACCTAGCTGTAATCTCTTGTAGAGCTAAGGGGTTCTGTAGTGTGGCTTCTGGGCCTGGAAGTCATTGCAATTGGACTAAAATTGGACCAGAACCTCACTAGGCCACTTTCCTCCCCTGTCTCTCATTAACTTGGAACAGTGCTCTTTTTTGGGGGAGTCTTTGATGGACAAGAACAGAAGAAAGAGCAGGATGTAAGGGGAAAACCATCTTTTTTTCCTTTCCACATCTCCCCATCTTCCTCCATTAAGTATGTTTGACCCAACATTCTCTAGGTTCTAAAATTTGTAAATCAGATTCCATTTTGATGTTTATGAGATCTTGAAGCAAATGCCCAGTGAACAGTTAAGCCTCTGGAGAATAATACAAATTTTCTCAAATCAGAGGGATCCTTTGGTATAGTTACATTAATGATTGTATTTTATTCATTGCAAACCTAGAGTTCCGAAAGTATTAATATTCCTTTAAAAAGGGTTGGAATTGTTCCTGGGAGAAAATATATTTCACACATCGGCAAAAGCATCATCCCATATATATTGCTCTGGACTTTTTCTTTTTGCAGGTAGAAGTTGCTAGTTGTTTCCTCTTTTGGGAACAAAGTAGAGATGGTTCTCTTTGAAATACTTCTTTGGGATTTTCAGATCTCTCCTACTACTTTGCATTACTTTTGTTTGCCACATTCTATTTCACACCATAGCTCTTTGTATACTAGTCTTAAGTATCAGTTTAATTAAATTCAATGTCTATCATGTGCCCAATGTAGGCAATGAGAATAATCGGGTGTTTTAGTGGATCTGTGTCCTAATGGATATGAGTCCTATATTGCAACTTTCAACATAGATCTTCTCTAAGATTATAGAAAAGACTGGAATTGTCCTTAGCAGTCATCTACTTCAATTCATCTATTATTATTATTTTTTACAAATAAAACAATTGTGACCCAGAGGGTTGACAGATTTTCCCAAGGTCCCTCAGATAGTAAATAGTAGAGCCAGATTAACAACATAGGTCCTCTGAATCCAAATACAATACTCTTTCTACTGCTCTATTGTCCTTGTGTCTTCATAACTCACCAATAAGGTTTTACTCAATGTGCTGGGGATCTTCCTTTAGATCTGTCAGTAATTCAAAAGGACTGGTTCAGTATTCATGCTGAGATGAAAAAACAAGTTGCTTGTCTTTAAGGAACTTTAAGTCTACTGGTACAAAATAAGTATGGAACAAATAAATATGGTGCAAGAGTAAAACTGCTGGTAGGGGGAAAAGGACTATATAGCATGTAATTAATAAATATTTGCAAAGTGGAATTGTGATGAATGCTATCCAGCAGCAGTATGTGTAGGGCAAAGGAAGAATGGCAGTTCCTAGAAGAGTGAAGATGAGTTCATCAAAATTTTGAAACTTCCTTTCTAGGGATGTTCTGCAGGTACAAAAGTTAAATGATAGAAGATCCACAACTGCTTTACCAATGATCTTGATTCATCTTCCCTGGGGAGAGTTGTGCATTCCTAATACTTACATATAAAATGGAATCTGGCTACTTAAGCAGGCAAATGCCAAGTGTATGTGGGTGTATTGCTGTGGTTTCTCACCACCTACAAAAATATGTAATGACAGATGAGACCTCCTTGTTATAAGTCACTTTTCTTGAAGGAATGACACAATTAGGCTTAAATGTCCAGATTATATATTCTTTTCTGAATGAGACTATTCAATGTTCAGAATTTAATTTGGGGATGTCCTTTTTACTCATAATCATGATGACAGCCAAGTGAACTGGAATGAGTTTGAAAATATTTAAGCACTGAGATTTGATTTGTATTAAAAAGGAGATAGTTTAATTAGATAATTTACATAGAATAAACCTTGTAAGGTAGTGGGTCCAAAACACACTATAATTTTCCTTAATACCATTTATTGGATCCTACCATTTGGAATGTCTACAAAAGGTTTCCTGGAAGTAGAAGAACAGCTGAGGATAATAGTCATGATGATGATGATAGCTAGACTTTATATAGTACTTCAAGGTTTGTAAAGAACTTGAAAAATCTCATTTTATTCTCACAATAACTCTGAAAGGTAGGGGCTATTATTATCCATATTTTATGGATGAGGAAACTGAGGTAAACAGATTAAGTCACTTTGCCCAGGGTCTCACAGCTACTAAGTGTCTGAGGTGGAATTTGAACTCAGGCCTTCCTGACTAGGCCCAGAGCTCTACCTGCTTTCATAAAAGCAGCTCAAGAAACAAACCATTATCTCATTCTATCCTTGCAACAACCTTGAGAGGTAAGTACTAAAAGTATTATTATTCCAATTTTACAGAGAAGAAAATTGAAGCTCAAAGACTTTGTAATTTGTCTGATTACTCAACGTCTGTCACACCTCACTGCAGATAGCCAAGTGATTACACTCTTTATAATTTTAGAATATTTCTTTTTTAAAATACATTTTATGCATAGATAATAAAGTCACTGGGAAAGATTATAATCCCAGGAAAAATTTGAACACAATTTTAAATAAAGAAAATTCGAAGGGTCACTTACCATTCTTCTTTCTCGGAGAATACATTGTCTTCAATCTGAAGGGAAGAAATGCTATTTTATTGACAAGACCTAATGAAATGTGAAAGGGACGCTCCTCCAAGTACTATACCGGTAACTGGAACACAGTTAGACAGGATGAATTCAGTTCTCCTGAAGCAATTGTTCAGAGTAGCTGGCCCCACTGGACTTCCTGGTAAGACCGTTCGGAACACTAAATGCAGAAACATTTTTAAAAGTATATAGGGCAAGCCAAGCTCTTCATGTTTGTAGTACAAGAATGTTCCATGGAACAGCAACCGAGAGGACGTAGACGGGGATTTATCATCTCCAGAAATGAAATTGCTTCTTCAAAGGAGTAGAGGTCAGAAGTTAAAGGTGAAAATATCAGATACATAAAGGAAATTCCACATCAACTGAGAATTTGGAGAATCCGCTACTATTTTAGTTACACATTCATGCACATGGTGTCGCTCTTCACTGAAAAGGTTTGGTGAAGAAAGAAAACGGCAGCTTCTCCCTGAATCCGACTGATCACGGAGGAACTCTTGTAAATCTTTCCTGGAATCAGATAGAGGCCATATTACTGGCTCAATCCAAACAGTTTGCAACAAAGAATTTATCCTTTTGCTTCCCTGAAGAGCCAGTTCAGATATTGATAATCTTACGTGTGTGTAATGGGGAGTCCGCAGAGAGCCCAGCATCTGCTGTTTTCTCTTCTGCTCTTCACAGCCTGGGAGATAGGGAGCGGCCAGGTCCATTACTCTGTGCTGGAGGAAGCGAAACACGGTACGTTCGTGGGGCGCATCGCGCAGGACCTGGGTCTGGAGGTCGGGGAGCTGGTGTCGAGGCTGTTCCGGGTGGTGTCCAAGGGTCGCCGGGACTACCTGGAGGTAAATGTGCAGAACGGCATTTTGTTTGTGAATTCTCGGATCGACCGGGAGGAGCTATGTGGTCGCAGCCCAGTTTGTAGCATCCACCTGGAGGTGATTGTGGAGAAGCCGCTGCAGGTTTTCCATGTGGAGGTGGAGATCAAGGATATTAATGATAATCCACCTATGTTCCCAGAAAATAAAAAAGAAATAAATATTGCTGAATTGAGACCTCCAGACGCTCGTTTCCCGCTAGATGGCGCATCTGATGCAGACGTAGGAGAAAACGCGGCCTTGACCTATAGGCTCAGTCCCAGTGAATATTTCTCTCTAGACGTACAAAGCGACAGTGAACAAACGACTTCATTATCACTTATTCTAAGGAAATCTTTGGACAGAGAGGAAACTCAACAACACCATTTATTACTCACTGCCACTGACCGGGGCAAGCCAGAGCTCACTGGTAGTGTTGAACTGCTGATCAAAGTGCTAGATGTGAATGATAATGCCCCCCAATTTGACCAGACCGTTTATAAAGTGAGAATGTTAGAGAATGCTGCAAACGGTACATTGGTGATCCAACTCAATGCCTCTGACGCTGATGATGGAACTAATGGACATATTTCATACTCATTTCGTAGCCCGGTACCTCCTGAAGTGCGACGAACTTTTCACATAGTTCCAGATACAGGAGAAATTAGAATAAAAGGAGAATTGGATTTTGAAAAGAATGATATATATGAAATTCGAGTCGAGGCGATTGACAAAGGGAACCTTCCAATGGCTGGTCATTGCACGGTTCTGGTGGAAATTCTGGACACCAACGATAACTCTCCTGAGGTATCTGTGACTTCGCTCTCACTGCCTGTCAGAGAGGACTCCCCGCCGGGCACAGTCATCGCCCTCATTAGCGTATCTGACCGTGACTCAGGCGCCAATGGGCAGGTGACTTGCTCCCTGTCACCCCCCGGGCCCTTCACGCTGGTGTCCACCTTCAGGAATTACTATTCGTTGGTACTGGAGGGCTCAGTGGACCGTGAGAGCGTGCCGGCCTACGAGCTAGTGGTGACTGCGAAGGACGGCGGGACGCCAGCGCTGTGGGCCACGGCCAGCGTGTCTGTGGGCATTGGCGACGTCAACGACAATGCACCTACTTTCGAGCAGCCTATGTATACTGTGTTCGTGAAGGAAAACAACCCACCAGGCTGTCACATCTTCACGGTGTCAGCCTCTGATCCGGATGCACAAGAGAACGCGCTGGTGTCTTACTCATTGGTGGAGCGGCGGATTGGGGAGCGTCCACTGTCGAGCTACGTGTCTGTGCACTCGGAGAGCGGGAAAGTGTACGCTTTGCAGCCCTTGGACCACGAAGAGCTGGAGCTGCTGCAGTTCCAGGTGAGCGCCCGGGACGCAGGCTTCCCTCCTCTGGGCAGCAACGTGAGCTTGCAGGTGTTCGTGCTAGACGAGAACGACAATGCCCCAAAAGTGCTACCTCCTCTTGCGGGTTCTGGGGCAAGCGGGGGCCCAGAGACCAAGCTAGTGTCACAGTCAGTGGCTCCGGGCCACGTGGTGACGAAGATCCGGGCTGTGGATGCAGATTCAGGCTACAATGCGTGGCTGTCTTATGAGTTGCTGCCGGAGGTGGGCGTTGGGCGAAGCCCTTTCGGAGTGGGGCTGTACACCGGCGAGATCCGCACGACGAGAGTTCTGGAGGAGTCGGATGGGCCTTTGAAGATGCTGCTAGTACTAGTAAAGGACCACGGGGAACCTGCGCTGTCTGCCACCGCCACGGTGAGCGTGTCACTGTTGGAGAGCGGGCAGGCCCTTAAAGCTTTGTCTGAGGTTGCGGGAGCTGTGGCCGAGGCAGGAATTAGAAAGGAGGCAGCGCTGGTGGATGTAAACGTGTATCTGATTATAGCAATCTGCTCGGTGTCCAGTTTGTTGGTGCTGAGTGTGTTGCTCTATGTGGCGCTGCGGTGCTCTGCGCCCCCGCAGGGCGGGTATGGGCCTGGCAAGCCTACGCTGGTGTGTTCGAAAGAGGCTGGGAGCTGCTGGTATTCCCAGCAGCGGCGGCAGGTTTACTCTGGAGAAGGAACAGTCAAGAACGACCTTATGGCCTTCAGCCCCAACCTCCCTCCGTGTCCCAGTCAGTCACATAGCGGGGAGCAGCAGGAATATGGGGCGGAGCAGTTGGGGAAGGTGAGTGTTAACGGAGAATCCTTTCATAGGAAGACCTCTGCCTTGGTTCTGTTTTCTTTAAATTTAATATATATTTTCACTATATTAGTTTTGAAGATCTACCATCTTTGAGGACTCAAAACTCTATAACTTTAAGTACTGTTACTATTCTGACCAAGATCTGAAAGTGATTATTGCACTGACATCATACTGCTATCTCTTGTGTCAGCCTATGTGCTAGTGGTTAATTGGGGGGACCTACTAGACATTGTTCTACTTTATACATAGTCTAGATGACTGAGAGGAAAAAGAGGCTTATAGATATTCTATATGTCCACGATTTGAAAACAAATAGTCTCAAAGCAATAGTTTCAAATATTATTTATTGCCACATGAACTCTTGTAGCACCTTAGAAACTCATGAAACTCCATTAAAGTAAGGAAGGCATGCCATCTATTTTCTTGGAAGGAATATCCACACTGAAAATATCAAGGTCTTATGAAACATGAAATCAGACTTTGTAAAGAAAAGGAGAATCAATACTAGATGATGATTATGTTATATTCTTACTGTGATTTCATTTTAATAGACATTACTTAGACTAACCCAAATGTCTTAGTGCAGTTTTAAGCTATTAAAACTTCAAGAGACTAAGATTGTGGTCAGATGCCATCTCCCTCAGATAGCCAAAGAGTTGTTGAAAGTGGATGACTTAGGCAAACTATTATTTTTTTGTACACCCCTAAACTAATTTGGTTAAAATGTGTTGTGTTGCTATTATTGATAATAATAATTTAGAGTCTATTTAGGGCTTTGGTGTCAATAGGCTGAGATGAAGAACTGTGTTTCAATCAATTTCTCTTCCCTTCTAGTGAGATGTGTACATTTCATTCTCCTTACTAGCATGGAGCATACCAAACTCAAAGAAAACAACATCCCTATATATTCCATAAAAATGTGTCTTCTAATACATAAATCAGTCTTAAAAGGGTTTAGTTGGAGTGGGTCATTCTACCCAGCTGATGTGTTATAAAGATTTGCTAGTATCACAGATATGGTTGTAAAAACTGATATTTATTGATGTTGGTTGTGCCCTAATTTTGAGAAACCACTTCTGTGGCCAAGGTTCTGCTTCCTCTTCCTTAGTGTTCACTCTTCTGTGGACCAAAAGTTGAGGATGGACTGAATTTGTTCATTAGGAGTCTAGCCTCTGAGAGGGTGGGTCAAGGCTTCTTTTTCTGACATGCTTGGCTACTTAAACTTCCATTTTGTTGCTCCATGGATGATTTACTTATAGTTCAAGTTTAGGTTCATGTGCAAAGTTTCTCCAAAAGGAGGGAGTAGAATGATATCAACATACAATAGGAATTAGTATGAGAATGCTATTTATTCCCTCTACACAAAAGAAGTGGTAAAATGCAGGAGACAAAAACACAAATGTATTAGGACCACTACCTATCAGGGTTTCCTCCCTTGCTTTGCAACATAAGTTAGTTTAATTATTCTTTGAAAAGTGGCAAAGATATCCTTGGGATTTGATTTGCCTAGGAGCCAAAGCTCAAGCTTCCCTTTAGAAACTTCCTGGTAGCCTCTGGCCATATTGGTGTGTCATCCTTGTCATTTAAGAGAATAAAAGCCTTTTCATAAAGTCAGAGTCCTTCCAACATGGTGGATGTCTTCAGATAGTGAGACACCACAGAACACCCTATTGACTAAACATTTCCATACAGAGATGAGGAAGGCTGTAGCTGCCTAAGCTAAGGGAGAAGTATCATTGGTGAATCTCTTTTCTATGATATGACCAATCTTAATGTTGAATCTGAACTAATAGGTTCCAGCCTGAATCAGGCCTGCTCCTAATAAGGAAACATTGATAGTAAGACAAACTAAAAAGGCAGTAGAACCAGCCACTCTTATTTATCCTATTGGTTTATACTTAAAACTGTCTGAACTCAAAGAAGTTGTGGGATTGTTTATTAGATATTTTACATTTTTTCTCAGATGCTCTATCTAAACAACTCTCACAAAAGATACTACATGTCTTTTGGTCAAATGGATCAGACTCCCATTATTTTCCGTGCTGATGTATGTCTTCTCCAAGAGATGTTGGGGACTCTTCCTCTTGCAGCTATTGAGCTCCATTCAAAAGGACTCAGGGCCTCTGGACCTCTCATGCTCACAAGGTCACCTCTAAGCCTGAGCACTTTCATCTCCAAATCGGTTCACAGTGTGTGAACAAACACAAAAGTAGAAAAGGCAGCCACAGTTTCAGGCGTAGGTCTGTGAAACCATATGGATGAAGTTGCCACGATGGTCACATCTGTAAGCCCCATTTGTAAGTCCCTCTCATTGGAAGCCTTGTATTACATGGTGCTATATGGAGGGTGAAAGAAAGAGGCAAAGCCAGAAGCTGCCTTCTTCTGCTGCTGCAGTACCTTGCACTCCTACTGCTGTCCCGGGTCAAGGAAGAGTGTAAGGGACCACTCTGGGTTTCCTTTATCTGTCAGTCAGACAGTCAGCATGCATTTATGTCTTTTTAGTTTGTGCTAGGCCGTATTACAAATTTTGGGAATGCAAAGACAGGGGCAAACAATTATTCCTGTCCCTAAGAAGCATACATTCTAGGAGGGAGGGAAACACCCTACAGATAATTAGGCACGTAGAAGCTATAGACAGAGTAGATGAAAATAATTTAAAATGGAAATGTATTAATTAGTATCTGGGGGTGAGGCTAGTGGTGGTGGAGGAGGACCAGGAAAGATCTCTTGAAGAGAGGCTGAGGTGAGGAAAAAGCATTCGAGGCATGTGGTTAGTCAGGGCAAAGAAACAGGCAGAAGATGGAGTGTTGTTTGAGAAACTGCAAGTGGGCCATTGTAGTGGGATTGTGGAGTTCATAGAGGGGAGCAAGATGTAAACATTCTGGAAAATTAGAAAGGGCTCAGGTTATGAGGAGCTTTTAATGCCAAACAAAAACACCAAGAACCTTTCAGAATTGGGTCACCAAAAAGCTGGAAACAGCCAGAGAATTCATCATGTCTGACACACATAAATGTTAAGTTAAGTAAGTTGTAGGCCCAGAAGTGGGCAGGGAATATCTGTGCATGATTTATATGACCTGTACTAAGATGAAACAACATACTTCTCTTGACATTTTAAAAGCAAATACTCATGACTTTCACCAGTTTGACTCTCATTCAACAGACATTAAGTATCTACTACTTGCAGGTTATTCTGCTAGGCTGTGGAGAGAAAGTGATAAAAAAGGACACTTTTCCTACCCTTAAAGGTCTCAAAATCTAGTGTAGGCCCACATGAGTATTTTCTTCCTTTTCCAGTGTAGGATTTAATCCTTCTCTCCTCCTTAGTTAGTTGTGTTGATACCTAATACATTTTCATACCTGTTGAGCCTAAATCCCTCCCATATGCTAATTTTCAGCATAAAAAGTCTCAAATTTTATATGGTGAAGGTATTTCTAATAGAAAATAAAGATTAGTAATATAAAATAAGCAACAGTGTGGAGGTACAGAACAATTCTCTTTCCAACTCTGATTCCACCTCAACATGGTCCTGTGCCTAAGGGGAATTTTCTGCCTTCTTTTTACATGCTCTATTAGCGGTGTCAAACTCAAATAGAAATGGGTGCCACCAAACCATACATAAAGATCCCTGTGTGCACATGCTGACTTAGGAAACCATACAGTAACATTATCTATGTTTTATCATGCTTATATTTATTTTGTTAGGTCTTTATTATATTTTAATCTGGTTTGTGCCACACTCAGGAGTGTGTGCTGCTGTTGGGCTACGTGTTTGAAACTTCTGCTTTATCTTACAATTGTTTCATAGAAGGAGTCCTTTATGGACGTACGAGGGAATGTCATACTCCTTACAAAAGGAGAAATCAAATGATTATATTTTTCATTTGCCTTGAAATATCTTTTGTGGTTGAAATAAAAATATTGCTTTCACAAGTGATGTCCTGCATTTTGTATGTTGAGAGACAGTATAGTGTAATGAAAAACAATGCTGGCCTTGTTTTCAGAAGACCTGGGTCTAAGGCTTATCTCTGCTTTTTTCTAGCTGTGTGACCTTTGACATGTCACAAGTATACTGAGCTTGTGACATATCAGTTTCCTTCTTTGTAAAATATAGATGATAATATGATGACCATTTCCCTGTTCTCTCTCACATGATGATTTTATATGCTAAACTCTAAACATTATTAAAGTTCAAAAAGATATTAATTAAAAATTGTGGAAAAGCTGTCCAGTAATTTGAGGTACCTCAATTGTACTATACTCTGTTTATCACCAACATATCCACTTATATGGCTTCCTCCCAAAGTAGTCACTAGCATCTCTAAAACTATCATGGCTTTTTCTGGCTCCATTTCAGTCAATTCTAGATTATACCTTTCAAACTCTCCTACTTGGAAGACTGTGTTTCTGTCTACATCATGCCATTACAACCAATGTCATTCCAGCCAAGCAACCAGCAATTTATGTGAGAGACAATCTGTTAAGCTTTTAGGCAATGAGAGGAGGCAATATTTAATTAACTAAACAGATAAATAAGGAAATTGGTAAGGGAAATAAAATTATTTGTTTACTTCCTTCTTATTGAGAAGAACAAATGGAATTCTGTTTATCCAAGATCAAATTTGCCCAGTCAGATAGAACTGAAAGAATATCCAATTAAAGTCAACAAGATACTTGAAGATCTAGAATAGAATCACATCTAAATGGTTAGGTCTATGTGTGTAGGGAAAGAATCCCTATAAGTGAAGTCAGAAGACTGCTCCTCTTCACCAAAGTAGTGTGATGTTGGTTATTTAACCACTCAGTTTCCTTGTTTGTAAAATGGACATAATACAAACTATAATGTCCCACAGAATTGTTTTCAGGTTCACAGAATCATGGAGACAATCAATCATTTAGTCAATAAAGAAGAATTTAATAGAGGTTTTATTCTTTCTGTAAGCCAAACACTGATAAAGGCTAGAGATACAAAAAAGAAATGAAAACAGTTCTTGAACTCAAGGTGCTTACACATTTAAATGACAGAAGAGAAGTATAACTGTAACTATATATACACACATATATGTATGTATACACACACACACACACACACACACACAAGTAGATACTAGTTAAGCTTTGAGGGAAAGGCAGTAGCATTTGTGGGGGATGAGGAAGGACTCCTGCAGAAGGTGGCATGTGAGCTAAGTCCTGAAGGAATTCAGGGAATCTGAGAGATAGAAGTGAAGGAGAAGAGTATTCCAGTTATAAGGGATAGTCAGTGCTTGTCATGGAATGTTGTGTGATGAACAACATGTAGGCCAGAAAGATTGGATTGTAGAGTACATGGACAGGAGTAAGAAGAGTGGAAAGACAGGAAGGGGTTAAGTTGTCAAGAGCTTTATAAATGATCCCAAAGGTAATAGAGATATACCACCTTTTGTGTCTCACCATTCACCCAACTCTCAGGTGTAGCTCCAAGAAATTGTAGCATGTGAAGTAGCCACACTTGGGTAAAACCATCTTGGAAGATGGGCTAAACCAAGTTGAGGGTAATCAACAGGCCTCAGACTCCATTGGTGAATTAGGGGGATGTCTACTCCAAGCATGTGAAGACTTACCCCCAGTGGAATGAGTGGATGAGAACAATTTGTTCCAACTGCCATTGAGGTGGCTCAGAGCAGGGACTGTGGAGTGCTTAGACATCAAAGACACCAAGGTCATGCATGCATCCTGGGCCATCGACAGTCATCCTGACCTTAGTCTTGCTGCTGAACTTTGTTGACTCTGGAAGAGAGAGTGAGGCTGACAACTTCGGGCAACTCTGATTCACTTAAATCCAATTTATGAACAAGTCAAGACATTGCCCTGCGATGTCATTGGTGTTCTTCCAAAATGAAGGACAAACAACAACAATAATAGAGAGATGCTGGAGTCTATTGACTAAGTGTATGAGTTGTCAAAATTGCAGTTTAGGAAAATCACTTTAGCAGCTATGTAGAAAATGGATGTTTAGAGTAGAGAGAGACTGGAGGTAGAGAGACTAGTTAGGAGGCTATTGCAATACTCCAGGAAAGCCGTGATGAGGGACTGACCTATGGTGGCTATATGAATGGGAAGAAATAGACTCATAAGAAACATGTAGGGATAGAAACAAGATTTGGTAGATTGAATATGCAGGGTAAGTGAAAGTGAAGAGTAAAGGATAAAACCACATTTTTGAACCTTCATGACTGGAAGATTGTGGTGATATTGGGAGTAATGGGAAAATACAGAAGAAAAGTAAATGAATGTATGTGGGCAGGTGGTAAAGAAAGGAAAATAATGAGTTCTGTTTTGGACACGTTGATTTTGGGATGTCTATGCAATATTCAGTTTAAAATGTCCAATAGGCAGTTGGTGGTGAGGTATTGTAGCTTAGAAAGTTTGAGTATACAGCTATGGAACTCATATGCAAAAGTTATCATTGAATTCATGGAAGATAATGAGGTCACCAGGTGAGCGAATAGAGAAGACAGTCTAAAAAAGAATCTTTGAGTATATCCATAGTTAAGGGGCATGATATGGATGGAGATATGGCAAAGGAGTCTGAGCAGAAGCAGTCAAAAAGACAGGACAACAAAGAAAAAGCAATGTCACAAAAATCAGTGAGAAGAGTACGGGGATGTGAGCATTTAGAACAATATAAATTATATATAGAGATCAAGAAGGTTGAGGATTAAGAAAATGCCATTCGAACTGGCAATAAGATAATTGGTAACTTTGGAGAGATGAGTTTCATTTAAATGCTTGGGTAAGAGAAGAGGCTGTGTTATTACTGAGTTCTTGATGAAGAGGAGAATCTTCTCCATGCCAAGGTCAGCCTCCTTCTGTGAGTACCTTCAATCCCATCCTATCCCATCATCTCTAATGTCCCCATTATTTCCCCCTGTATGATTTTCATCCTACTGGTTTGTTCTCTGCTGCCATATTCTTGCACTTGCTACATCTTCCCATCCTCAGTAGCTAAACTTCTGCAACTTAACTATCTTCTTCTCTTGAATCCCTTGTTTTCTCATCCTATTAACACATCTTCACATTAACACACACCAAAATTACATTAGCCCCACTATCTGCCTTCTCTGGATCTATTCATCGGCTACTGAATGGAACCAGAGAAAGCTACTAAATAATGATAACTCAGTCTACCACAAATTGATGCTATCTAATCACAACTGGGCACTTACTGCAGCAAGGCAATGCTTTTGTTTGTTGTTCAGTAATATCTAATTCTTTGTGACCCCATTTGGAGTTTTCTTGGCAAAGACACTGGAATGGTTTGCCATTTCCTTCTCCAGCTCATTTTACAGATGAAAAAGCAGAGGCTAACAGGATAAGTTATTTGCCCAGGGTCACAGCTAGTAAGTGACTGACCAGATTGGAATTCAGGTCTTCCAGACTGCAGGCCTGAAGTTCCATCTACTGTGGCACATAGTGCGCAAATCCTTTTACACCTCCTTAATTAATTCTCTATTCTATTCTCCACAACAACTCTTCCAAAAGTTGTTGGTTTTTCCCTAAAATCTCCAATTATACCTATCTGACCTTCTCAGATGAGGCCTTCAACTTATACTTTACTGGAAAAACAAATGCTGTCTACTTAGAATTCATTAGACAACCTCTCTGCACTGATATCATTCCTCACCATTTTCTACATTACTTCATATTCCACTATAGAGACAATTTTTGTTACCAATGCCAACCCTTCTACATTCAGCCTTGATCTCCCTTTCAGTCTTCTCCATCTTCCAGTGTTATTTGGCCACCAGTATAATTTTTCTCTCTAGATAATCTTTAATCTCTCCTTATCTTCTTGTTTCTTCCTTGTTGTCTTCTAACTTGTCCATGTCCTTAACCTCCCCACTAGTTCCTACTGTCTCCATTAGCTATTATCTTATGTTTCTTGAAGCTTGTGGCATTTCTGTTATTTTTCTTGTTCCTTCAGATTTCACTCTCAGAAAACTTCCACAATGGTTGTCTGACTAGAGGTATGTAGCTCAGCTTCCACAAACCTACTCCAGAAAAAAAAACCCTTTAAAAAATAACACCAGACCAAATAATGATAAAGAAATCCCACAAACAAGCAAGAGTAAGTGACTTCTTCCATCCTGGAGCTGCACCAAAAATCATCCAGGAATCTCCAGGAAATCAGAGAAAGGACCCACCAGAAAAGCAGTGCCAGCATGGGAAAATGAGATAGAAATCTTACACTGTGATCAGAAAAAGATGATGATACTGGTAGCTTGCAAGCCTCCATATCTAGAGGCAATAATGTTGGAGGGCTCCCATAAGAAACACCCAGGGAGGTAAAAAACTCACATCATGGACCTTGGAAGTGACTGGTCGTAGCAGCTGCTGTACCAGCAACATTTAGACCAAAGCACCCTAGGCCTCAGGATTCTGAGGTCATAGCACTTATTGTGGACAAACTCTGGAAGGTGTAAGGACCTAGGCTGAGGCCAAACAGGGCCTATTATTCCAAGAAATATCCTGTCCGAGGGCATAGTCTGGCCATAACACAAAGCCCCAATTCAGGAACTAAGTATGGAGAGATGAGTAAATAGAAGAAGATAAAAATTATTATTGGAGATATCCAAAAATTCAACCTAGAAGATGAGAGAAACTATACAACTTTAAGCAGAGAGAAATAAAAAATGAATTTTCCAGAAGGAAATGTATATCTAGAGAGAACATGATGTAAAGACTATATAGATACCTAGAATACATGAAGCATGAGCTAATAAGTGAAATGCAGCCTCAAGATGAAAGAATTGTAAGGAAAACAAATAGTTTAAAAGAGAAGGTGGCAAAACTTGCCAAAGTAACAGACTCCCTAAGAAATTAGAATGGACC